CATTTTTAAAACCGTTGCCACCAAATATTATCGCCATACATTATATTTAAAGGAACTAAATAATGAAGAATCTGCATGAATGCATGAATGTTTCTCGCATTGTGGAAAAACAACAGTACCTAGAGTTTTCCAGTTTTGAATAACGTAGTCGAACATAAGCACTTGCAAACCCGAATAAGGAATTTGTTTTATTATCACTTTCAAATTTTGTAAAACTTTAATGAATTTTTGATAAACAAACTCAACGATTTCAAAACCAGCAATGGCAACACTCTTCGGGAAAAAAAGAAAAAAAAAAACATTTTTATCTCCAGCGCGCGAGAATGTGTATCGAAAATTCTAAAAATATGCTGTTTTTCTGCTTTTCAATATTTTTGCGATATTGCTGTTGAATTGAATTTGATGTGGTTTAAGTGCGAACTTGATATTTAATAAATAAAGAGAACAACACAAAGCGTTAAAAAAACCCTTTTGAGTGTAATATAAAATCTGAAAGCTTTCAGAATTTTTTTTTTTTTAGTCCAAAGGGGCTTTGTCCCTCAAGGACTATTGTTTTCGTTTTGCGAATTTGCGTTGAATCGCTATAAATGTCCGTTTCACTTTTCAAACTATTGTCATCAAATGTTACAGTCCTGCATTATATTTGAAGAAATTAAATAATGAAAAATCTGCATAATTGTAGGTATATTTCTCGCATTGTGATAAAACAAGGGTACATAGAGCCATCGAATTTTGAGTGACGTAATCCTCCTGCTAATATGGACATGTGGAAGCCCAAATTTGAAATTTGGAATTTGTTTGATCGATTTCATATTTTGTAAAACTTTAACGAATTTTTGAGTAACAAACTCAAGGATTTGAAAGCGAGCAATGGCAACAATCTACGGGGGGGGGGGGAATCTTTTTATTTCCAGCGCTCGAAAATGTGTATCAGAAATTCTAAAGATAGGCTCATAAACGTGGTATTTAATAAATAAAGATAACACACAAAACGTTAAAAAAAAACGCCCCTTTGAACCTAATTTAAAATCTGAAACGTTTCAGATTTTTTTTTTTTTTCATTAAATTTGTACTGTTAAACCCCTACAAGGTTGTCTAAACTTTTATTTGTTAAATGGAGTGCTAGTTCAATTGCTATCACTACATGAGTCAGAACTTTGCAACTACTGGTCCTCAAGAGTGTAAAATATTTATTCAAACATAGTCCATTAAAAGAAGCTTGTGCTTCGGATATTTGAATACATGTAAAGCCAATAACTCAGTTTTAAGTTTCGCCAGAACACGCGTACCAGATTTATGACGTCATTGAATATAATAACCCAATCGCGTTGCCCTTCGCTTTCCCGCCCCGCAACTTGCCGTTTGCTTTGGGAAAGGCTTGTTCCCTTGAATTCGGTAAACCGTTTTCTAACTATCTGTTCGACATGGAGAGACATAACGATGAATCTGTAATGAAAGTAACAGAAAAGATGACAGCATCCTTCATTACGAAGTTCGTACGAGCAGCGATCGAAAACTTGGTACCGTAATTTCATTGCTATTTATTTTTATCTTTTTTTTTTCTCCTCCATAAATTTCTCACGCCTTATTGCTTGAAACAAAAAAGAATTCATTTCAGATAAAGGGATGAGCTAATTTGTTTTCTCTCATAAATAACATGTTCGTTCGTTTTCGTTCGAAAAGTAAATGATTGTTTTTATTATAAAAATAACTATTGTAATTTTTGTGCACCAATTCAGTCTTTAGAATCTGACCAGCTTAAAATAATTTCATCCTTTCAGAAAACGTTATGCTACAGGAATGAAATATACATGTAAAATTTAATTGTTCTTTTGCTGCGCACACTTATGGAGTGTGTTAGAAGTTTAAATAGCTTTAAACTTCTTTAACTTACGTTCCGTTAGAAGCGTTTATTTTTAATTTTCTGAATGTTCTAAGCTCTCTGCATTTTGGAAAAAATACTTCTGTCGTCGATTGTTAATTCGTATTCTTATGAAAGAGCATTCTGTTCACAAATTCCCCATCTTTTATGGCTTCGAAAAGATTTTGCAATTTTATTTTCTTTATTTTTGATTTAATAGATGAAAGGTAAAATCTTAAGTATTGCTTCCTTTCCTTAACTTCCAGGAATAATACATTTTGCACAAATGAGAAGATATCGTCTGCATGCAACCAATCGAATGTGAACTCATTTCAAGGCATTTGCTCAGATTAAATAATAATTTTGCGCAAATGAGAAGATATCGTCTGCATGCAACCAATCGGATGTGAACACATTTCAAAGCATTTGCTGAGATTATATAATAATTTTGCACAAATGAGAAGATATCGTCTGCATGCAACCAATCGGATGTGAACTCATTTCAAGGCATTTGCTCAGATTAAATAATATTTTTTCTATAAAAGACAAAACTGCTTGAATCAGCCGCTCTGTAAAACCGCTAATAAAAAGAGGTAGAAGTAAATTTACGAAAAAAAATTTTTTAATGTATTTAAGAAGCATCGCAAATTTTTTATTATTGTATTTCGGGAACAAGAATTCATTTTAAATAAAACACGATTTATATGTAACTTAATTTTTTATAATAACTAATTATTTTTAAGTTGATAATTATAAGAGGAAATATTTCAAAAATACAGTTTTCAGAAAACTCAATATTAACTTTTAATTATTTTGAAAATTTACGCAAAATTTTGCTTTGAATATGATTTAACACATCTGTAATTCCAGTTGGATAGCTTATTTTAGTATACTTTTTATGTTATGTGTTTCTGGTGTAGATGTTTCTATCTGAAATACAGATATACCTTATTCACGGATGTTCGTTTTATGTCATTTTATATCAGGAAAAACATGTATTAGTTCTTAGCCCAAAGGGCGTTCGTTAGCCCAGAAAGACTATTAATTTCATTTTGGCATTTTGCGTTGAAAACTTTAAACGTCCGTTTCAGTTTTCAAATTGTTGCCATCGAATATTATCGCCCCGTATTATATTTAAAGAATATTAATTAATGAAGAATATGTATAAATGTATGTACGTTTCCGGCACTGTGATAAAACAACGGTACCTAGAGTGAGTCGAACAATTTCGAATAACGTAATTCTCCACCGAATATGAGCATCTGGAAGCCCTAATTTGAAATTCGTTTTATTATAGATTTCATACTTTGTAACACTTTAACGAATTTTCGATTAACAAACTCAACGATTTCAAAGCGAGCAGTGGCAACACTGTACGGGGGAAAAAATTTATCTCCTGCGCGGGAGATTGTGTATTGGAAATTCTAAAGATATGCTCATTTTAAAATTATTTTGCGACATTGCTGTTGAATTGAATTTTATGGTTTGAGTGCGAAGAACATGATATTATTAAATAAAGGTAACACACGGAACGTAATATAAAATCTGAAAGCTTTAATTTCTTTTTTCTTTTCTTTTGTTTTTTAGAAACTTTTAAGCTTGGCTAATTAAGATTCTCCTCTTAGCGAATGAGCACTGAAGATCTTTCTGACAGCATCACCTTGAAAATGCGGCACAGCTAATTGCGCTTGAATGATTAAAGCCCAACTTGGCATCCGATCCTAAAATAATTAAGGTAATTTTGCGGCTGAATGATGTAATTAAGTTTTGAGAAATCGATCACTGTCTGGGAAGTTGTTCGATCAGAGGATAATTTGCAATTATTATTTTTACCACAAATTATCATTTTGACTCTTCAATATCGCGATGAACTTATGTTTTAAAGTACTTTTGTTCATGTGTCCGTTATTTTACTTATTTTTAATACGTTCCTTAATACACACGAGAAACACTGCAGGAACATATCCAGAAATTTTAAGCACGGTTGCTGCACTGAACTTGAATAGGGTACTTAAAAAAATTCAAAAAAGCGATTAATTGTTAAAGTATTTCCTTTAACAAAAATAATTATGTTGAAATATTTACTTTATCACAGTTTCAAATAGAACATTAAATTAAACAAGAGGACAATCGTTTATGCGGAAGTACAAAATTTAAAAAAAATTAATCTTAAATCACTTTCAGATTTTATATTACGCACAAAGCAGCATTTTCTTTCTTTATACGCACATATACGTTTCGAGAGCCTTTGGGCTAAAAATATTTAAAAACAGCATATCTTCAGAATTTCCGATAGACAAGTCTCGCGCACTAGAGATAAAAAAATTTTTATTTCATACAGTGTTGCCATTGCACACTTCGAAATCGTTGAGTTTTATTTGAGTTGAAATCGGACTTTTTCTGAAATGAAATGCTGATTTTTTTTCATATTTCGAATCTTACAGCTTAAATTATGCATAAATGGTAAATTTTTGCGATAAATTTAAGCACTCGTTTGAAAATTTGTCTTTGTGATAAATTTAAGCAGTCGTTTGAAAAATTTAACCTTGTATTGCATGCATCAAGATGCCCACGATCAGTAACGATGCCAACAAAAAATGAAATAAAGGATAAATATGAATCTAACCACAGAACGCAAGTTCAGGTGCAGCTAACTAGCCCCTTTTAGCGTAGCGTTTTGTGAAGTTTAGTGCCACTAGCTATGCGAAACAGTCGTTCATTCTCCAACGCTTAATTATGAACAAAAAAACTCTATTTTCAATGAAAAACTTAAATAAATTGTCTTCTTAGAGCATTTTATGCATCATTTTCACTTTCAGTGACATTAAAAACTAGGCTGTATCGTGAATGAGCATTCACCAATCCTCAAGTCACAAAAATTTAATCTGATTACAAGTACTACACCTTCTGATTACACGTACTACAAGCGCAGCAGTCATACTTGTAGCACATGTAATCAGTAGATGTAGTACAGAAAGCGGAAGTCATCATTTTGCAAAAGTAGTCACATCTGCGAACATCATTATTTAATCGTGAATTTTAATTGTAACAAATAGAAAGTTTGTTTTCAAATAATGGTACATTATTTTGTGAAAAGTGTTTGAATTTTCGTTGAATAATCCAGGCATTTTCTTTCTAGGGTGTTCTTACGGAGGAGTCGGAGAACAATAATCCAAAATGGACGCTGAGTACCATGGAAAAATATATGCGAGACGAAAGCGAGTCCAGTGTAGCCTTAGGACTCGTATCCCAGTCTCCTCTTCCCAACAGCAAGAGGAGACAACCTCAGGCCGCATACCACCATCAACAACATATACCCAGCTATTCCACCCAGAATGGGGACGTAGTGGAAAGTGGAGGAGAAGAAAGCAGCCCATCTTGGGCTTCTAGTAGTAACACACCTTCCTATGCTAGTGGTGGAGTATCCTTCGATTTCAATTCTAAGCCTGAAGATGGTTGCGACAAAGTAGCTCCCACCATTACCACAACTAGCTGTACTCCAAATTCGACACCTGAAAATGCTAAGAACAGGAAACAATCCGGAGCTGTGCCATTTTCTTTGAGCACTGATCTGCTGGCTGCCTTAAATTCCGATTCTGAACTGTCTGCTGTGAAACCAAGGAAATCTAGGAAGGATTCGGACAGCAGCTTGAAAAGTCAGAGTAAAGGTTCCTCTGCGGCTGGGTCTCGCAATGGTACACCTACCAAAACCAGTAAATTAAGCAAACTGCTGAGAAGGACACACAGCGCCGGCTGCTCCAAAGATGTGCCGGCTCATTCGCAATTTATGAAAGAGAAAGCGGTAAGTGTTTTTTTTTTTTTTTTTTTTCTGTAAGTGGATATGTTTGCCATGTCTCAAATAGTATCAAAAACTAGATCATCGAATCAGATTTCTCTTTATTGTCAAAAATTTTGGATTTCATTTCTTTATAATTACTAATATAGGGATAGCATAAGTGATTCATTCGTTTTGAAAAGGCTATATTTTCAAAAGTATTTTACGTGTACACATGAAAGATATACGAAAGGAACCACAGACTCACCAAGTTCATACACACTTTACAAATATTCAGTATGGTGGAAAAGACACACATATAATCGAGCTCATTCCATACATTTTGCAGCATTGTTGTCCAGATGTTCGTCCTGTCAATTGACCAGATGTTGCGAATACCATAAAAACGCTGTGGAAGATTTTGCGTCAGCAACAAATAAAGCCGGAGGAATACGCCCGTCGATCAGATTTTATCGTCAGCATTGGAGGGCGAAGAGTTTGCCATCAAGATGATATTCAGCGATGAAGTAACGTTCCAGTTATCTGGCAAACTTGGTGAAATAATGAGAAAAACTTGGTGAGTTTTTGGTTATTTTCACATACCGTATACACTCGTGTAATGTCTGTGCTTCTGTAATGTACGCATCCCAACTTTACAAATAAGATTTATGTTAAAAAAAAGTGACCCGCACAATGTCCACATCCCCAAAACTAAAGAATTTCTTACTTTAAAATATATTTTTAGCATCGCCTTTTCCCCTTTATTCAATAATATTAGTCAATAAATATATTTAAATAAAGAATATGTATTTTGTCTTTGGTTGGCGCAAGGGTTGGTTGGCTTTGGTTGGCGCCAGGATGGAAAGCATCTGCTTTCCAACCTGGCGCCAACTTGTCGTAGCATCAACATCCTGGCATCATAGCATCCTGGCGCCAACTTGTCACAGCTTGCAGCTGTTATTCAGTCATGGCATCGGCGCCAGGAATTACTCGGCAGATGAGATAATAAAAGAAGGCAGTTACCTCACTGGCTTCCAGGAAATACTGTTTTGTAATGAAATTACTCTCCTCTCCTTCCTCCTTGGAGCATTCGCATATTTCAAGATTTCTCTTTTCATTCATAGTATCATTCGGAATTTGTGATAGTTAGCAAGTAGCCTGCTTGAAATGAAAAAATACAGTAGCTATATAGCGGCTTCTAAATTGAAAGTTGTAGACTTTGCGCAGGAAAATGGAAAGAGCAGCAGCAAGAGTATATAAAGTGGACGAAACGTGTGTGCACAATTGAAGCAAAGAGCGTGATCAACTGGCGGCAACGAACAAAACAAGATGTGCGTTTCCTGGTTCGAAATGCAAGTTTCCGAACTTAGCAAAAAATAGTTCCGTATCTTCGTGATATGCGGGCTCAAGGGTACGCAGTCACTCGGGAAATGTGCCAAATAAGAGCGCTTGCTGCGGCACGAGAAGAAGATATTCTTACATCGCAATTCAAGGCGAGTTGTGGCGAATGATGAAACGAAATGGATTTTCATATAGTGCGTGAGAACAGATTTTTTTTAAATAATGTGTGCAAGGTATTATAAGAACCGACGTTTATTTAATTTTTATAAAATTAAACATTAAAATTGCAAGTATTGGTTAATTTGTGCTTCTATATTGCGCTGCTGGGCGAACTAATACGCGCCGAGTGTTGATAACGTAAACAGGGTCATTTATGTTATATGTGTGGATGGGAGAAAGTGAGTTTGTAAATTTTAGGTAGCTATTAGACAACTTTAAATTTGATACTTTTATTACTTATGCCATTTTGTTCCACTTAACTTGGCTGTTTGAAATGAAATTTATACCCAAAATTTCTCAAGATAAAAAGCGCGACATTTGAACGACCCGTGAAATGTCCACGCCTGCATTTTCGTAATGTAGTTTTAGTAAAAAAAAGTGCGGTCATTACCTGAGCATATAAGGTAGTTTTTCTGTGCGTACCCGTAATACTTTTGAAAATATATCCTTTTCAAAATGAATCATTTATACTAACCCTGTATTTTAAAGTACTCTATTTTCATGAGAAAAGGTGCAAATTATCTCCAAAAAATTTAAAATAAACTTGAACCGATCACAAAACTTTATAGTCGGTTAACGTTTGCAGTATTTCTGTAGTACTTCATAAATGAGATATTCTGTAGGAATACTTTCTTGATTCAAAATCAAGAAAAATAATTTTTTTCTTGTCCGGTTAAAGTTAGTAGTATTTATACAGTATTTCATAAATGAGATATTTTGTAAGAATGCTTTCATATTAAAATCAAGAATCAGTAATCAGTCAACCAGGAATATTTTCGGGATTAAAATCAATAGATACGAGTATTATGTAAATACTTCCTTGCTTAAAAAAAAAAAAAAAGGAAATATTTTTTTCTTGACCTGTTAAAGTTAGTAGTATTTATACAGTATTTCATAAATGAGATATTTTGTAGGAATATTTTCTTATTAAAAGCAAAATTCAGTAATCAGTTAAGCAAGAACCAATTCTTGATTAAAATCAATAAAATATTTTGTAAGAATACTTTTTTGACTGAAATCAAAAACTTTTTTTATCTTGACCGGTTAAAGTTAGCGGTATTTATTCAGTACTTCATAAATGAGGTATTTTGTAGGAATATTTTCTTGATTGAAAAAGATAGTGAGACACATAAATTTTAAAATAAAGCAATCTAGGAAGTTATTTTTCAAAATATCAATAAATAAAAAAGTCTGAGACGAAATACTTCAATAATTGTTGGAAATTTTTTTGCCCAAATTGAACAAGAGTTTAAGTCATAAACTGCAAAATTTTTTTTTATTGTTAAGTTGTTATGCTGTTTTCTTCTAGATCATTTAAATAAAAACTGATATGATAAATTAGTTTAAAAGACTTTCCATGACGATAACAGCGCAGCATGCTCTTTTCAGGCTTTAGTAATTGTAAATGGATATTTTCATAATGATTTATGAGCGCAAGTTAGAAAGAAGGATAATTTTTACTTGTATATTTTTTATTAACTAATAATTTTTTGCTGAAATAGTAAGAAGGAAACTTAGGATAGAAAATTAAGGCAACTTATAGCACCTAAACAGAATTTTAAACTGACATAGTTAACGAACAAAGGTCATTAATAAATCATTTTTTATAAAGTTTTACTGGTAATTTTTCATTAAAAGTATAATCTAAAAATATTAGAAAAAAGAAGATAAGTAACTGCATGGCCTTATCTATAAAAAAACTGCTAAGTTAATTATGAGATTATTTTTTTCACTTTTGTTAATCTAATACTCTTATAGTGAAAATTATTTCTTTTTCTGCTTCAGTTTATTCCTAAGTATTAAGTTTCCTTCTTCCTCTTTCAGCAAAAATTTATTAGTTATTAAAAAATATGAAAGTAAAAATCTTTCTCTCCATCTTGCGCTCACAAATCATTATGGAAATATCCATTTACAATTATTAAAGCCTGAAAAAAGCATGTCTGCGATGTTATCGCTGCGATAATTTGCCGACACTTTATTTTTTACCGCGATATTTTTGACAACGATGTTTTTAAACTGCGAAGTTTTTGAACCGCTTTATTTTCGACGACGATATTTTGTACCACGATGTTTTAGAACTGCGATGTTTTCTCCGCTACGTTTTCGTATGCGATGTTTTTGACCCGATGTTATCGGCGGACACCCGTAAATGAAGCAATGCACAAAAAGCTATATATAGTTCTTTGCATACGGTTTTAAATGTATTTCTCTGCTTATTTTATTATATTAAATCTCTTACTAAATATGAGAGAAAATTGGGACCAAGAACATAAAACTAGTATTACTGAATGAGTACGATGCTTTCGGCGGAAGTAAAATCTCAGGGAAGATATTGCTTTTCGGCTTCTGCATAAAACATTTTACTAAACAAATAAATGTGCGACATAAAAGGACTACACAAAACACTTTTCTAATTAAAGTTTTCGGAGTTAAGATGTGATTGATCTCGCATCCATCGCTGAAACTTTTGAATGCAGGTGAATATTTTAGATCACATGGATAAATTAAATACTATGAAGCTGGAAAAGAATAATGGATATAGACTAAGTTAGGAAATGAAAAATCATTCCATTGTCGTTCTCGGATACCATATTTCTATTTTATTGTTTTTTGAATCAAAAGCAGAAATTAGCAAAATGAAAACAACAGTTATAAATGCAGGATGGGCACAAAATCTTTGATAAATAACAAATATGTGATGCCGCGTTGGAGTTTATTTTAAAATAACATGACTGGAGTTTATTTTAAAATAACATGTTTATTTTAAAATAACATTTTAAATAACATTTTAAATAACATTTTAAAATAACATCCAGCGAAATATAATCCATCATAAGTATCAAAAATAATTCCAAGTAATTTATTCACAATTCACTACTTTAAATTAATATTGATATAATGGAAATTTAAATCTGAAGTAGCAAAAGTGCTCGAACATTGCTTTCGAATTTTTCGAATTTCCGAATTTGCAGAGCTTGATTCATCCTAGCACAACTATTTCTCAAAATAATGCTTCACTTTTTTAGCCCAAAGAGGCAGTTTGCTCAGAAAGACTATTAATTTCGTTTGGCATTCAGTGTTAATTCACTATAAACGTCGAATCGGTTTTTAAATTGTTGCCACCCAATATTAGAGCCCTGCATTATATAAAGAAATTAAATGATGAAGAATCTGCGTAAATATGTCTATGTTTCTCGCATTGTGATAAAAAAAAGGTACTTAGAGAGCCATCCAATTTTGAATAACTTACGTCTCCACACAAAAATGGGAAGTCAAATTTGGAAATCGTTATATTATCTATTTTATTTTTTGTAAAGTGTTTATGAGTTTTTGATTAAGAAGCTCAACGATTTGAAAGCGAGCAATGGCAACATTGTATGGAGGGAGGAATATTTTTATCTCCAGCGCACGAGACTGTGTATCGGAATTGCTGAATTAAATTTTAGGGTTTAGTTTTAGTGAAGAACATTATATTTAATAAGATGCAGAGACATTAGGTTATTTCGAAAGCAGGAGAGATGAAAAATGAGCAACGCCTTCGCCGGGACTCGAACCACGGGCCTGTCGAGTACGCGCCGAGCG